GATGTACATTTGAAGTCATACTGTGATCACACCAGTATACACTATACAGAGTCTGTTAACATAACAAAAGTCAGAGATAGCAGGAGAGCAGTAAGGTTTTGTTTTACTACCATTCATCAAAGTTCTGACAGTCTATTCTGTAGAAAGGGGAGGGTAGCAAGAACTCTGAGTTCTCTTGCCAAGCTAAACGCGACTTCCACAGAAGCTCGGGTGTCCTGACTCTCCCAGGCAGGGAAAATCAACAGATGCACAGCCCTGGACAAGACAAACTTGAACTCACTCACAGAAATGCTACCTTAGGTCCTTATAGCCTGGTATTCTGACTCTAGAAAGAGTATCTACATACATTTTAAAGGACAAAATGACCCCAAAAGCCTCAGATGCCTTAAATCTGTGATTCTCAATGAAGAATGGAGAATGATCACATATGAATCATGAGGAGAACTTTTTCAAACCACATCTGTGCAGAGGCAGTATTTTTCCTCTCCAGAGAGAATCAGAATCTCCAGGAAGGGGACCATGGTCAGTGCTTGTCAAAGCTCCCCCAGGCCTTTCATACTTAGGGGAATGTCTACACTCACATGTGAGCTTGCATACACATACACACACTCCCTACTTAAAATCAATGGCCTGGGGAATCCTAATAAATCATCCATACAACCACCTAAACATCCTGAGAACTTAGTCATAGTCATCCTACCTCCTCCAGGGAGTTGAAAGTCAACTGTGTGCCAAGTAATACAGTAATCAAACGGCATCCAGAGCCACCCCTGATGGCCTAGCTGTTAAAGTTCAGTGCGTTCCTCTTCAGTGGCCCAGGTTTGGTTCCTGGGTGCAGAACCATAGCACTCATCTGTGAGTAGCCATGCTGTGGTGGCGGCTCACACAGAAGACTAGAAGGACTTACAACTAGAATATAAAATTATGTACTGGGGCTTTGGGGAGGGGAAAAAAAAAGAGAGAGAGGGAGATTGGCAACAGATGTTAGCTCAGAGCAAATCTTTCTGAGAAAAAATAAATAAATGAAAACAAATTAAAAATTTAAAAAAAGAAAAGGGCATCCAAAACTCCAGAGGCAGTGTTCTTCTGAAGAGCTGAGATTTCCAAATAGCTGAAGAGCTGCCCATTTAAGTACCAAGCCTTTTTTCTTTTCCCAGCAATTTTGCATATAAAACTTCTAAAATTCATTGCATGGGTTCAGCTTCCTAAATATAATTTAGCCTCGCCTTCACAATTCAAGGCTCTTGTCACAAGCATCAATTTCTGTACTGAGGCTAGAAGAGGGAGTTTATTACTGAAGACTACAAGGACCTACAAATGGCAGCTGAAGGCAAGTGGAAAGTTGGGGAACCACAAGTCAACATGGGACTCCAAATAAAGAGGCCACAAGCAGATGTCAGAAGGGTAGTAAGGAGAAAAAGAGTGACTTGACTATAAACAGGCTAAGATTTAGGAGAATGGTCCCTAATACGCATTGCATTCTGTGACTTGGTTTTCGGGCCTAGCACCACTGTGGTGCAGGGGCCAAAATCTCAAGTCTAACAGGACATCTGCTGCTCTCAGACTGTCTTCCTCCAACCCTCCTCTTCCAATTCAGTGCTTCTAATTTCTTGTGGCCCTGGAGATAACCAAGCTAGTCAGAAGTGGATAAAGGGCCAAAGGCTGCCTTTCTGGTAAGTCAGCTGTGTGTGTGCGTTGTGTGTTCTGTTAGGGTGGTGAGGGATCTCTTTGACTTACTTCCTGGACCTTGGCTGGGTTTCAGGAGGTTAGATTGCTGCCTAGCTGAGCTCCAGATAGATAAGGAGTTGTTAGTCTTCCTTATTTTCCCTCTAAAACTACCTCCTTCCGGATTCCTGTGTTCAGTGACAGTGAACAAGCCCAAGCTCATTTTCTTCATACTTTAAGCTTCTATCTTGGGCAGTGTCTTTTCCAACGTGAGGACTCTAATCTGTGTAGATATTGTTTCTCCTGTCATGGGGCAGCTGGCGCTGCAGTAACCTCGGAGAAGGGACACGCCCACTAAGAACTCACTACGGTCCTCTAAATTACCAGCCTTCAGGAACACATCCTTCCCCCAGAAATGACACAGCCTCTGGGAGAAGGCAAGTCATCAGTAGTCCTGTTATCAGAGGCCACTCCTCAGAGCATAAGGTCAGGCCAAAGAACAACAGTGATGTGGTGGCTGACATTACAGGCAACAAAAACTAAGAGACTTTGCCTTCCGTGTGCTGAAGTCATAGACTTGAAACAGGGCCAAGAAGGACAATCAGTGATGCTGTCATCTGTACAGAGAGACATGTAAGAGTGATTTAATTGAAAAAGAAGTAAAGAGGGGAGATGTAATCATGTTTTTGCTTTTGCTTTTTTAAAATCATCTTGCAATCTATCTGGTTACCTTCAATCCAACTTCTTTTTCAAAGAAACCAGTCTTTGCTTTCCCTCCAAGTAACACTCCACCCTCTGGACGGCCTAGTTTCTCTTATTTTTCTTCGATTCTGGCTGATACTGAGGCAAAGAGCAAGAGATTGATTGGCTATGAACAGCATGGTACATGATGAGGAAAGGGTGCTTGGGAGTGAGAGCTGGAGTGGTGTTCCAGCCCTGCCACCTCCTAGCTGTGTGACCCTGGCCAAGTGCCTTAATTTCTGTATGCTTCAGCATCTTTCTCAGCAAAATGGAGAAAGAATACAGTAGTGGAAAGAATATTTCAAATTGGTGACAGTGGTCCAAAGGTATAAACTGCCAGTTGTACGGTGAATAAGCCCTAGGGATGTCATGTACAGCATCGTGACTATAGTTAACAACAGTGTATTGTAGATTTGAAAGCTGCTGGGAGAGTAGATCTTAAAAGTTCTCATCACTAGAAAAAAAACTGTAGGGGCCAGTCCAGTGCATAGTGCTTAAGTTTGTATGCTCCGCTTCAGCGGCCAGGGATTCACTGGTTAGGATCCCGGGTGGAGACCTGCACACCACTCATCAAGATATGCCGTGGCAGCATCCCACATAGAAGAACTAGAAGGACTTACAACTAGGATATACAACTCTGTACTAGGGCTTTGGGGAGAAAAAAAAAAAAAAAGAGGAAGATTGGCAACAGATGTTAGCTCAAGGCCAATCTTCCTCGCTAAAAAAAGCATATCTTTAAAAAAACAAGTGTAACTATGTGAGGTGATGGATGTTAATTAAACTTGTGGTAATCATTTCACAATATAAATATACATCAAATCTTTATATTGTACATCTTAAACTAATACAATGTTATGTGCCAATTATATCTCAATAAATATGAGGAAGAAAAGGATACCTCAGGATACAAACTTCACAATACAGCTGTGAGTATTAACTGAAATAATACTTAGGAAGTGCTGAACAGAAGGTCTCCACACAGGAAGCCAACTGTCTGACGCTCTCCTGGATGACGGAGAGCAATGGCCAGCCTGTCAGCCTCTGCACTGCCCTCAGGGTGCTCCAAAACGCACTTTAAGATTTGAAGGTCCCTCAGGAGAGGTCATTGAGGACTCATTTAAATAAGTAAGAATTATTTTTCACAAATACACATATAAACTAGTCTTTGAAAATTGTTTTAAAAACGTTAAACGTATTCTCTGAGCTCTCACATACAACAGTTATTTGTATAGTAATTCTCCATTTTCATAATAAGAGGTTCCTGTATACAGAGGTTAATTGATTTCTTTCCCTCCAGTAAGTCCACTCTTTAGTTGTATTGTCATACACACCTACTTAACACTGTGGCTCTTGGGGTCTGTTCTTAATCTTCTTTTGTCTCCCTCTACACACTCTCCCCAGGGGCCAACCTTCTCCTCAATCTCTCCTCACCTCCAGGCACTGAGCGCCATCCATCTGGTGCCCTCAACAGGCCCCTTCAATACTCTGTCTTTGCATAGGCTGCTCCTTCTGCCAAGAGTGACCATCCCTCATCCTGCTTTAACAGACACTTCTCAAGGCCCCATTCAAATGTCAACCCTTTAGGGAAATCTTTCCAGCTCTGCCCTCTATGCTTGCACACACTGTTCATACGACACTACAATGCATGTACAGGTCCGCCTCCCTCCCCACACTCAGGGCTTTTAGAGCAGTACTTGACTGTGCGTAAGAATCACTAGAGATCGCGTTCCACATAAGACGTTCAAAGACGCATGAAGATCCTGGAGATCTTGAAGGTGCATAAGAATCACCTGGAGATCGTCTGATGGAGACACCTGATGCGTCTGGGATGGGGCCTAAGATTCTGCATTTCTCACAGCTCTTAGGTGATGCTGATGCTACTGCCCTTAGACTCCACTTCAGTAACAGGCTTTTAAGAACATCTTTGAAATCTCAATAACTTGGGACTTCATCATCATCATCACCATTCACACGGCAGCCCAGCAACTGTACTTAGGATGATGAGAGAGATGTCAGTGCTGCCTGAAATAATGGAGGACAGAGGTGGACAGAGGATGTGGGTGTGTGTGTGTGAAGTAAGGGATGTGGCCTGGAGAGAGCAGGTAGACTCAGACAGGAAAAGAAGACAGGTTCGTGAAGAGGCGGGAGGTAGCAAATAGAGAAAGAAAAAACAGTGAAAGGGAGAGAAGACAATAGGAAGAAAGAAAAGGAGAAAAGGTGGGCCACAAGATGAGAAAAGCAAGGTCAGCTGACTTCTCTTCTTAGCATGGAATTGGGCCTACATCATCTGACTTTCCAGAATCGGGGGTGGATTTCAGGACTAAAGCCCTCCCAAGGGTGTGTACTTCAGCCATTGATGCCACTTAAGAAGTGTGCTCAGAGCTTCACAATTTCATTCTAAAGGTTCTTCCTTCCTTCCTGAGTGAGTGAGAAATGAGTGGTCATTGTAGGAGTAATAACAAATGAGGGCCTATATCATGATCATGAACATACAGAATGCTTTCTATCAGTTTAGGAAATCTAAGACAGTAGAAAGTCTTTTATCCTAAGATTTCAAACTGATTTCCTGTTAAAACAACCCAAACAAAAGTTACCTGATACAATTCAATCCGTTGTTCGGGCACTCTGGCTTTGGGGTTCTGTAAACGAAAGACTCTGAACTCTGCTTTCACCAAATTGGAAGCATTCTTCTCCATCGCTGAGACGTCAAATCGGACAATTCTGAAGTAGGGTCTGTAGAAAGTAGGCGGGATGGCATCTGTAAAAAGTTAGGGCAATCATTGAAAATGATAAAATCCATTGTTCTCTCAAAAAAGACCATGCAGCATGAGATAGTCTCAAGAAACCATAAGGGAAATGTCTACAGAATGATTTCATTTCCAATGCCCAATTTAACACCATTATCTATTTAACCAGAAAAAGAAACAAACATGTGCATTTGGTTACAGAGGTAGCAGATTAAGAGAGATTAACAAACCACTTCCAACTCCATTTGAGGGCAAGCAGTTAACTCTATCCTTTGAAAAGTTGACAGGGGGGTGGAAAACTCTAGATGGTTATGAATTGGAACAAGCTCATGAGGATCGATGGCTGGAGAGAGCTGATGGGCTTGCACACACTTTAATCAGATGTGCCAAGAAAACAGCTCCTAATGGCAAGCAGTGTGCCCATGATTTTTTTTCCTTGAAACGTTGGCATCCAAATACTCTACTCTATCCAGGTTCATGTATTGTAGCTTTTTTGGCCTTGACATTTTGGATTTTCACACACATATGACCAAACACACCCTGTAATCAAGTTAGGGTGAGGGGATTTGAATAAAAAAAACTATAGCCACACACAAGCTACACCAGGTCCAGTCTTAAGATTCTATTCAGGATAATGTCCATTGGTAGGAGGAAATCCTGGCTAATGAAGAGAAAGAATCAGCCCAAATTCCTTCAGTTCTGAGCCATGTAAAATTCAGAGATGCAGACAGTACACAACAATTTCACGCTCACGGGTTGTTAGAGTTTATAATCTGCCATTGCCTTTCAATATGCAATTTATTCTACACCAAAACCAAAGCAGGTCCTAATTCTACCCCCGGGCTTCATATACAACCCCCATTTATTGAGCACCTACACCCGGCAGGCCACTTGTTACAGGTATATTTCTACAATTCTCTTCCACAGTCTCCTGCAAGCTTACTTTCATAATTCCAGAATGCTCCCTCCAACCCTGGTGGCACCATTACTTTCTACCCTCTCCTCAATTATGTAGCTTCATTACCACATAATCATTGTTTATGGCTCTTTGCAAATGTTTTTATTACTTCTGAATTATGTTTGTTTATTTTGTTTGCCCCCAGGAAATTTTAAGATTTTTGAGGGTGGAGACCATACTTGCCAGGTCTTTCTTTTTCCCCACATCCCTAGGACAGGGCTCTGTGCACATGGAGTTCACCAAATATCCACTGTTTGCATAGCTGGTCATCAATGGGAGTCTTGAAAGACTCAGGCATCTGGCTATTGGCAAGACTAACTTATTAAATAAATGAGCCATCTTGCCGATCTTAAAATAGAAATAAATACCTTTCATGATTTCTTGGGAAATCCACGCCCTGACGATTGCACTGAAAAAAAGGCTAGGAACACACCAAGATTTCCTCATCATCAGAGTTCTGCACTTTCATCCCCCATAAGGACGTTCCCCGGTCCCTTTTTCCACGTCCTGTGACTCTCTGAAAGCAGCTCATGGGGACACGGTGAATTCCAAGCCACACTCTGCCCCATGACCGCTCATAAACCACCGTTATGAATTGAGGCCTTGTAGCTCGTGACCCAGAAGCCTCAGAAACAAACAAACAAACAAACAAAAAAACCCCAAAAATCTAAAGCATCCAGGGTTCAGAGAAAAGAAAGTATTTATGCAGATACGGTGATGGCCCGCTGCGTGGCTACTTGAAGGAGCTGGTGGACAGTTTTCAGGCGGGCCAACCTTCATACAAGCAGAAAGGTTTTTGGAGCCCCCTAGCACGGCAATTTAAAACCGTAGCTGCTGAGAAAAAAATCGATCTTTCTCTCCTCCGGAACATGCCCACCCCAGGTGACTGGACGGGCTGGTACTAGCCTGATCAGCTCAGCTGAAATCAGGCTGGATGCCCAGGCGGAGAAGCCTGGGCAAAGCTGGGACCAGACTCTCTGGCTCTGAGCCCTCTAGTTTGGCCAGAACCTTCCACAGGCCTAGTGGCTGCATTCATCTTTGCATGGCCTCCCCCTCAGACAGCAGAAGCTTCAAACACGATTTGAAAGAGCATCCTGAGAGGGCAAAGCTAATTCAGTGTGTTTCCTGTCATTAGGAATAGTAAACATCTCGTTGATTTTTCCCCTTCCCCTCCAGTGGAACCGCCATAGGCCTGTTCTACATCCACAAACACCCATCTTTCACACCCACCCGCCCCAATCTTATCGTTCCATCAAGTTTGTAAATAAGTGCTCTTGAGATTTATTTTTATTCTCTTTTGTGTTTATTAAACTTAGAACAATTTTTTTCCCTTTCTGGTCTTCTGCCCATACACACTCTTTCTTTTTATGGCCGCTTCGGACCACGAGGTCAATTTTGTTTCCACTTCTTCTAAGCAAATCGTCCAATGATCCTGTCCTAGGCTTTCGAGCTTTGAAGGGGCGCTTGCAAATATTTACAGGAGTAGCTCGATAGTTAAGTGCAGTTCTGCTCTGCTCCCTATACGTTGGCAAACAGCCCTCCTCCCCTCTGGCCATTATAACCATTTCAGCTGTTTATATTTCAACTGTCTGATAACACAAATCCACATTTTTGGTTCTTGTTTTATAAGTAGAAGCAGTTAATGCATGAGCAGCCCCCATCAGCAGCTCTGCTTTGGTCTTCTAACCACAGTGAAGTGGCCAGGCCAGGAGGAACAGCAGCCTTCCCCAACCCCCTGCTCCAGCCCACAGCAGCGGGAGCTTGCTCCATAAAGACCATTGACCAAGAACTGACTACAACTTCCAAGGGTTGGTCCCAGCTGTCCTCTGCTGTCATCTGCTATGGGTCACCAGCCCCCTGCCTGGCTGAGGAACTTGAGCAACTTGCCAAATGTTTCTGCATTTGGGAAAAAAAAAATCACAGCAAATTGCTCTGGCCTAGTCTGTGATCCTGCCCTTACCTCATAAAAGCTTTTGGATGAACCATGTAGGAAGATCTGAGAGTGGCCCATCTATACCCAGCTGGACACGGCAGGCTGGCGCCCTGGGCTCAGGGTACCAGGGAGCCAGGGTAGGTCTTTAATGGCTTGTGCAGTACTGATCCACCCACTTAGCTTTGGAGGGATGGAGCTTTTTCCTCTGCCCTCTCCAAGAACCCGTTTTCCCCTTTGGAATGGGAGTTCTCTCTAAAGTCCTCTGTAATTCCAACCCCAGTTCCTATCCCATCGCCAGGTGGTCAGGTTCTTGTGCTTGACCTTTGCCAACTTACCCACACTCACACCCTGGCTGGCTCCTTCCTCTCCATTTCTGACCCAGTTTTTTTGGTTCAACCCGATCGATTTTCCCTGAATCCTTTGGACATCTGACTACCAGGCCGGTTCTGCTCCTCCTCCCACGCTCTCTCATGTGCCTTCCTCTCAGGCAAAATGCTGCACACAGGAGATTCCAGAACATCAAGTGAGCGCTGTTCCTCTCACTTCAACCGTGGCCACATGTCCCTGCTGAATCAAACTTTGGGGAATGGACAGATGGAAAAAAATGAGGAAATCTAACTAGTTTTTAATTTACCAAGTAACAGTGTACAGAAAGCCTAGTTACAGCACTTACTCACAAGCTATTTTATTAGCATTATATGTTGACTTGGTATCTGTTCCAAATAATTTATTAGCTCATTGCCTATTGTCTTCTCCCTCTGTAAATACCTTGAGCTCAGGAATCTTTACTTACAGTTGTGTAGTTCTCCGCAGCCCAGGGCTGGCTTCACGGGCCTGTGACCAGTGCAGATGCACAGGGTCCCCATGCTCAGATAAGCCTTACACTTGAGTTTCATGCTCTACCGTCACCATTTTGAAATCCTTAATCATTTCATTTTTGAATGTAGGCTCTGTAAGTGAAGTCTGATGAGACAATGGAGCATGCCCAGGGGGCGTGGAGATTTGGGGCATGTGCTGTCCTATTTCCATGAGCTATTGGCCTCCCTAGGATTGGTTCTCACGCCCTACCCCTTGCCCTCTGGTGCCCCCAGCCTCACCTGGCAGAGTCAGATCAGACACACACACCTGAACCATCTCAGGGCAGGGCATAGCTGTTCCCACCTGCAGCTGGCAGTGCCACAGTGCATTCAGAGGGCAACTCAGTAGGAGCATGCCTCTCACCCACTCTTGATCCAGGTACCAGGCACATCCTAGTGCAGAGGGTGCAATCCTATGGGTTGGAGTGACGGTCCTATGGGAAGAGAGATGCCAGGTTCAACATGACATCAGTCCAGTGGCTGGTGGCAGGGGGAACCCAGGACCTAGTGGACTGCACACTTCAAGTTATAGGGCAGGGCCCTAGATGTCTGTGAGAGTCTGCTCCTACTCTGGGAGTATCCCCATACCCAGAGGAACGCGACATCAAAGAGCACATCAAAAACAGCATGACAGGTCGAGAGAGAGACAGAAACCACGGAACAAAGGGAAAAGCTTTATATTTTAGAATCTTCAACAGTACATTTTTCTTGCTTTTTGAACAAGAAGCCCCACATTTTCATTTTGGAAAAGGGTCCCACAAATTCTGTAGTTAGCAGTCACATACAGCTATAGGATTTTAAGGCTATCTGAATTTTAATCCCAAATCAACCAGTCCTAGCTATGTGGCAAGAGGAACATTATTATGGTCTTCTGAGGTTGTTTCTTCATCTATACAATGAGGTTAATAATTTCCTACCTCATATGTATTGAATTGTGTTGTCAGGACTACATATGCAAGCAGACGGAAAGCTCGAGCACTGGGTCCAGCACAAATTTCCCCTGAGAAAGGTCCCTTCCTTGTCTCCCTTCCCATCCTGCAACAATGCTGCCAAGTGGTCCTTGGACCCTCCTCGAGTGTCCCCAGGGAGAGAGAACTCTCTTATTGCCTAACTTAATTAGAAGAGGAGAGGAAAAGGCGCAGGAGCAGCTAAGTGTACTGGGGCAGTTTATAAAGGACTCTATATACTCGGATTCCTCCCCCTGCAGAGAGGAATTACAGTCACCAACGTTCTCACAGACTCCCCACCACCATCCTGTAATAT